CGCAGGTCCAGCCTTCTCGCCTGTGGGTCCCCCAGCCACATCTCCCACCACTACCTCGCGGTTGGGCGCAAATGCGGCCAGCACCTCCTTGAATTGTTCGGTCGTGATCCCAACCCTCTGAATGAGGGCCTCAGCCTCCCCGGTGGTGATGGGGGGGTGCCGACCTCCGGTGGCGCTGTTCTCCCCCTGTTGGGGAACTCCGGTACCTACGTTGGCGTTGCTACGTGTTTGCACCATCGTCGTTGTGGAGGATTTCTTCCGAGTATGATTCTCGAGCTCTCAATGAGAGCACCAATTTGATGGACAATAAATCCACCAAATGATCCGATTTACAGAGCGGATCGCAAGAACAAAATTAAGAACAAGAATTCGAGAATTGGATGTGTATTACTAGCTTGATTTAGCTTGAGTTCTCCCCTTTCGGGTCCCTTCTATTTATACACGAGCTCTCAACAATTAAGGTGAAGCATAACCGATGGAGTTTTGCCCGCCAAGGGCGCGATCCCCTTTTTCCGGCTCCGTAACGGCCAATCAGCTCCGTCTCCTTCTCCGGACTGACTCTGCCCGCTGCGCTTGGCCTAAGGTTAACTAGGCCCAGCTCCTTGGGCCGGCCCAGCTTGAGTATTTCACTGGTGCTTGACCCGAAGCTGTTTAAATGGTTCATTTGGGCCGTCCTCTGGATATCGGCCCATCAGACATGTTTAAGAACCAAGAATCATAAACCTTGAATTTGATGTTAAAAATATGTTTTAATGATTCCAAAATGATCTATGAACCTTGGAGAACATTTATATATAATTTAATTGAAGTTTGTTGATTAAAAATGATAATACTCGAAACTGACCAGAGGAAGAAGATGATGAACAGTAGCCGAAAATCGATTATTTACTCCTAAGAATCGATTAGAACTTTGTTCAGATGAGGGTGCTCAAAGTCAGAAAAACATAATCGATTATTTATAATTTATAAATCGATTTTAGTTAATTAATCGATTATTTATAAATTATAAATCGATTTTAGTTAATTAATCGATTATTTATAAATTATAAATCGATTTTAGTTAAATAATCGATTATTTATAAATTATAAATCAATTTTTATTATTAATCGATTATTATTCATTAAATAATTGATTTTCCCACATTTTATATATATATATATATATATATATATATATATATATATATATATATATATATATATATATATATATATATATATATTATTTTATATTAAATCAACTTCAATTCGAGTTACTGCTTCGAAAAATATTTCTCAAATTATGCTCTAAAATCCTACTTTTGATACCAACTAATTATAGATAATATAAATATGATTTTGTACAATAAAATGATGTTTTGACATATAAAAACGTAATGTGATGCATGACGGTAAGTTCGGGTGTTAACACTCGATACTAGACCACTATTTGTTATTAGATTTTATGATTGTTTGACTATTGATTATGATAATTAATTATGTTGAATACTCTGAATAACGATCATGAATTGTTAAGTTGAGAATAATGAATTAATAAATCATACTATTAAGGCTACTTAGAAGACCTCTAAGATAGACCTCTGATTAGAATGGGCCTTGCGAGTATAAAACGTATATTCGGTGGCCTTGGGTAAAAACGTACGTACGGGGTCCATAACCAAACTAGAGGAACTCGTTTGGGGATACCACCCAACCCGACAGTCAGTATCCTACTGTTCGGTTTTCTAGATTTGTACCTTAAGCAAAGGCTAGTTTAAGAGTTGGTAAATCAATCGGAATATATGTACCTTAAACTAATGACCTAGCTTAAGAGTTGGNCCACTATTTGTTATTAGATTTTATGATTGTTTGACTATTGATTATGATAATTAATTATGTTGAATACTCTGAATGACGATCATGAATTGTTAAGTTGAGAATAATGAATTAATAAATCATACTATTAAGGCTACTTAGAAGACCTCTAAGATAGACCTCTGATTAGAATGGGCCTTGCGAGTATAAAACGTATATTCGGTGGCCTTGGGTAAAAACGTACGTACGGGATCCATAACCAAACTAGAGGAACTCGTTTGGGGATACCACCCAACCCGACAGTCAGTATCCTACTGTTCGGTTTTCTAGATTTGTACCTTAAGCAAAGGCTAGTTTAAGAGTTGGTAAATCAATCGGAATATATGTACCTTAAACTAATGACCTAGCTTAAGAGTTGGATAGAGGTACCTTAAACTAGAACTAGTTTAAGAGTTGGTAAACATCAAATAAGTTGGCCTTAGACTAAGAATAGTTTAAGGATATTATTGAATGAGGATGTTCAATGTTGAATATGAATATTGAATGACGAATGTTGAATATTGATTATTGTATATTTGAACTGAATACTCTGTGCATGATATCAAATGATTTGATTATGAATTTGGATTCAATTTATATGGATGTTCGACGCATTAGATATGCTTACTCAGCTTTACCGCTGAGCGTGTAGTGTGTTTTATTTGCTACACGCAGGTAAGCAGAAAGCACAATGTGATCCTGGCGGCAGATGGGGTGAGATTGTCGGGATGGATGTGACAAGTTTGAAATGATTTATGATATGTCAAAATTAAATTCACTTCCGCAATATTGTTGAATACTCCGTACTGTATATGTTATGAAAAATTATTGGGATTAATAAAGTGTGTTTGAAAAGTTTTAAATTTTTACGATTACCAAGTTAATACTTTAGTCCGGAAGGGGCTGCAGACCTGGACGGATTAGGGTGTTACACTCTTTCTCCTCTTCAGTCTCACGCATGGCGAAGGAAAAACAAAAGAAACAGAGACTTCTTCTCCGCAAGAAGCCAATGCCCAGATGGAAGTAACGCACATCTTCTGCAACATCTCTCCATAAAGTTCGCTCCAGCTCTCCAACGGTAAAAATTTGAAGGCCCTTATTTCTTAATCTCCTATAAATTGAGGACGAATTGCAACAAGAGATGGGGAATTCACACGGAGAATAAAGCAGCGGCTTGGCCGCTGCTATGGTGGTCGCCGGCGATGGTGGCAGGCGGCGTGGTGGACGGCCGACAGACGCGAATCGGCGGCGGCAAAAGCTCCGGCGAGCGGTGGGCAGTCTCCATCACACCTCCAGTTTACTCAATTTGTTCATCTTCTTCAACAATTGGTAACCCTTATTTGTCAATTTTATTTTTTCTTCTCCAATTCTATGTAAAAGTTTGTTTTTTATTCCATTTTTACATCTTTTTTGCTTGTTGTGTTAATTTCAAAAATCCTAAAAAAATGGTTGGTGTTCTTTTATGGGTTTTTTAATGTTTATATTAAATCCCTTATGAATGAGAATTGATTCAAACTAGTTTTTCTTCAATTATTGAGCAAGTTGTTGTTGAATTGGTTGAATTGTATAATTTGATTTCATAAGTAGGTTGGTATGTGGAATTCGGTTTTTGTTGAAGCTATTTTAGTTCCATAAGGTAGTTAAATGAACTCTGAATTCATATGTGAATTTTTTTTGTGCTTTGTGTTCATTGATTTTAAGGATTTTGGACTTCTTAGCCCCATAAGATGATTCATTTTTCTTAGAATTCGTTATTAAGTGATTGTGTATGTTTTCGTATGTTTGTTTGTTATTTTCATTAAGTTGGGGTTGTTTAAGCTCAAAAACAATTCTTGATTTATTGAAAATATGTTGTGTTCATCTATGTGAATAGAAAAAAACGTCATTGGTTTGGAAAGTTCATGGAAATCTGTGAAATGTGCTCTTCATTAGGAGAAAAGGTTAATTAAAATGCATAAGGTATTGGCGATTTGTGAATAGATTATGCATGAGAGTTAGAATGAAAAAAAATCGCTCTTTTATAAACTTTTTCTATAGTGGAAGTATGTTTTAATGCTTGATTGATGAGTTGTGATTCTTGATTTGTCTCATTATGAAATTCTTGAATTACATGACTCCGGGCCGTGTGGAGAGTTGACAATCCTCCATATCGTGGTTAAGGAAATGAATCGACTCGGCCTTTGATTTATTTTTTCTATTCTTAAGTGCGTAAGTTACGTAATATATTGTCTACGTGCCTATTATACATGTAATGTTCGATTTGTGTTCGTTTTTTATTTTGTTTCGGGTTCTTGGCGGTGTTTTTTGGGTTACCTCGGTTGAAGAAGTTGATTATCTTTTGAGCTTGTTTTCCCCATTTTATCAAAAAAAACCAAAAAAATAAGAAAATATAAAAACAAAAAAACACTTTTTATTCAAACCCCCCCTTTTGTTATATTGTTTTAAGTTATAATACAGTTTTTTTACTAAGTTATATTATAAGTTCTTTGTTTATATAAGTTATATTTATAAGTTTTTATATTTATTTAGTTATAAGTTTTATTATAATTTCTATACGTCTTATCATATGTGTAGTAGTTAGTTTTTTTTGTTTTATTTTGTAACAATGTGTTTGCATGCTAAATTGGTTTCAAAAAATACAAACTTTCTCCGCGGGACCGACCCTTACTTGCCCTAGCTATAGTTTTTGTTGAATATATCTTGGGGGTTAGTTAAGGATATTTTATAAATTTTTAATTTGTTTTTGGAGCTTACGACAAGTCCTCAACAATCGTCCCGCGTGGGAGTCATTCGTCATCAAATTTCGCTTGTTCATTTGCTCGTCAAGTCACATTCATTCGTCGTTGGCATAACAAATCAAAGTTTTGTCCAAGTTGTTTTGTTTTGTATTTCTAGTTTTATTGTTCAAGTTGTTCATTCGTGATCCTCATTCTCAACTTGAAAGGGAGTGTTAGAATATGTTTTAGGGTTTGCTAGTTTTCCTATTCTTGTTAAAGTAGGAATAGAATTCTGGTAGAAATAGAACTTATTTGTGTTACTCTCTTGAGTTTCTTCTTATATAAAAATGGTTCAATCTTTGTAATTTCTAAGACAAATCAATATAGAATTATTCTCCATTATTATTTTCTACAATATAAAAAAATAACTATTTATGAAAAGATATTCATAAAAGAAGATTTGCCGGAGTAATATTTAATAACGAATGACTAAATAGAGAAGCCTCTTTAATAAAGGACCAATATCGAATTTGCTCTTAGATAAACGAAATCATAATTTCACTCCAAAAACACATTGCATGTGTAGTCATTAGTGTTAAAACTATATTCTATGAGCAATACTGACAGTTATTTTGGGTAATATATTGTGACGTCGGTCCAATGGAGGATTTTATAATGTTTGTTGGAATGCATGAGCTCAACTCTTTCTGTGTTGTTAAGTGTTGACTCACAGGTTTTGATAATTGACAAACACAATTTATTCAAGTCAAGATCAAAGTGCTACAACGACAAACACGAAGACTTGAAGTGTCATTCCTTGAAGTATTCAAGAAGGTGCACAGGATTTTATTGAAGTCCGAGACGCATTCGGAGCGCCTAACAAGGACTCGGAGGAGTAGAAGATTTCCGAAGACTTTTATTTATTTGAGTCGTAGGAATTTTTGTAAGGATGACAAAAATATCTTCTCTCCAAAATTGTTTTTATGAGAGTTAAAATAAAAATTATATTTATTTTTTGAGTCAGTTGAAAAATCTTTTTAACTGTTCAAAATAGTTTTATTGAGTCAGTTACAAAAAGTGTGTCAAACATTTATCAAATGTTTATTTTGATATTATAAAGTATTTTTGGTAAGCAAAAATATTTTATTCAAATATTTTTCGTGTACATCGTTTGACACACAAAATAATTTTTGGACTCACTTTTACTCCCTTATTCAAATTCATTGAATAAGAGGAGGAGCGTTCTCTGATTCCCGTTGTCTCAAACAACGAATGTTACGCCCATTATTTCTTTTGGTAATCGATTATATTTCTCTGTTTAATCGATTAACTGTCGTTTGCATTCCATTAATCGATTATTCCTCTTGATTTAATCGATTAGTCCTCTCAGAGCCTTCTAATCGATTAATCCCTTTGCATTAATCGATTATTTACACGTTGAAGGAACTCTGCGCAGACTGCATTAATCGATTATTGACACTGCATTAATCGATTATTATGCTGCATTTTTTCATCCCAGCTTCTTTTCTTGGACCAACGGATATATTCCTTCAACCCCTATTTAAACACTCTTCCTTGGTCATTTTTCAAATGAACAAGCACTCCTAAATTCCCCAATCTTGAGGTTATAATCCTCCATTCATTTCTTCCTCAAATTGATATATTTTGAGAGAAAACTAAGTGTTTTCAAGAGAGTGTTCTTGTCATCCATAGAGCTTAATCTTTTCTCATTTCTACTCTTGTGAGAGTTATTGCTGAGAGGTTGAAGAAGATTGTTCTTCAGGGCTTATGTGATTTAAGTCTTGGTTGTGAAGTTTTGTAGAGAGCATATCTACGAGCGGTTGTGTCGAGGCTTGTGGGATTCAAGTTCTCGAGTTGTAAACGGTTTGTTAAGCACCCATAAGCTTAACGAAAGTAGTGGTAGCTTCGAGAGAGTCTCTCGGGGAACTGGACTAGCCACGAGGTGGTGAACCAGTATACATCGGTGTGTTCTTTGCCTTCTCTATTTTATTTCCGCTGCACTTTCGTTTATCTTATTTAATCCTGCGAAAATCGGTAAACATTCTCAACAACTCTATTCACCCCCCCTCTAGAGTTGCACGCCTTGTCTAACAATGTTTTATTCGAAAAATTTAGGGTTCTAACTCCTCAATTTTTTACTTTGGCTCGACTCAAACTCACCCTCACTACGTCAATTGAACCTCTAATTTTTTGACCCCAAAACTAGTTTTTAGAGGTTTAATTGACAGGGGAAGCGAGGTGGGATTGTGCTGGGCTGGGGGAGGGGGGAAGGGAGAGGGGATTCGTTGGAAGGTTAGAGAGGTAAGAACCATCAATTTTTTTAACAAAATATCCTAGAGTTCTGAATTGAATGAGTGAGCTAGCATCATATCCAAAATGGGTGTAATTAATCTAAATATAACCCCACGAGTATTCTATACATCATAATTAGACCTTATTCTTTTATGTTTGAATTTTAGAATTGAATATTAAAAAAATTAGAAAGAGTTGAAAGGAGTTGGCAGGAGCACAAAGACGTTGGATAAAACTTGAAAGAGTTGAAAAAACGGGAAGGAGTTGGAAAATGTTGAAAAAATTAAGAGTATTGAAATTTCATGTTTCTATTCAAAATAATTTTTTTGAATACTATTTGTAGAACCCCAAAGACTAGCTTGGTAGTTAACCGCTATTTTAAGTAAATTAAAGTGGAAATTATATATTCAATATTTGTGCCGTTGGATAGATCTCGTGAAAAGATGACCAACGGCATATTACTTGTTAAGTTTGGACTTGTGTATAAAAAATTATGAACAAAATAGATATTATAGTAGAATAAATAAATGAATAGATTTTATAATATAATAAAATTAAACAAATAAAATATATGTAAATACTTTGTATAAACCCAATTCTACCTAGAAAAGAAAACCCAAACCCCTCAAAAGTGTATACTCTGTAAATTTATACTTCATATGTAATAATAATAATAATAACAATAATAATAATAATAATAATAATAATAATAATAATAATAATATACTTCATATGTAATAATAATAATAATAGGTACCATTTTAGTGAGGAAAATGAAGGAAACCCGTTTTCTTTTCTTTTCCTACAAAATTTCTTGCACCAAACACAGTGTTAATCTATATAAATAGGTTCTCTCCCCATAAAGCAAGTATCAATCGTCTGTATAGTATATTATTATTGCTTTTTTACGAACACATATGTGGCCTTTCGATAAAAAAAGTAGATCAGAGTTGCTCGACATGGATGCTTAAATTAAGGGCTATAAGGTTTATCGTATAGAGTTGCCCAATATATATTGATTTTCTTTCTTTTTGTATTTAGTTTACATATAGAGTTCCTAGCATGTGGGATCCTCTATATATACAGCCTTTGCTCATATTGTGAATATCAGAAATACAAGAGAAATAAGCATGAAGACTTTTCTTTCATGGTATCAGAGCATAAACCTAAATCATGCTAAGCTTGGTCAATCAGTATTAAGTCGTCCATTGCTCTCAATATTTTTTTTTCTCTACTGTTGTTTACAGTCGACCGGGCACCGCATCCATCGACCGTCGCTACTGTTTTCCTTTTCCGCTACTGTTGCTTAATGGTCGACCATACATCTCATCCATTGATCGTCGTTATTGTTCTGCAATCCAGATGCCACTGCTACTATTGATTCATCGCTGCCTTTCTGATCATGTCAGAATAAAAAAGCAAGAAGACT